GATGATCTGTCCATTGATGGAGGTGGGGTGCTAAAGTCCTCTTATTATTATTGTATTATTACTGATGAGTTCCTTTATGTTTGTTATTGACTGTTTTATGTATTTGGCTGCTCCCCTGTTGGGTGCATAAATATTTACAATTATTATATCTTCTTATTGGATTGTCCCCTTTAATATTATATTGCATCCTTGTTTGTCTCTTGTAATGGTCCTTGTTTTAAAGTCTAGTGTTTCCAATATAAGCATTTCTACTCCGGCTTTCTTTTGACATTCATTTGCACGATAGATGATTCTCCATCCCCTCACTTTCAATCTGAAGATGTCTTTAGGCTTAAAATGGGTCTCCTGTAGGCAACATATAGATAAGTCTTGTTTTTTTTTAACCATTCTGTCACCCTGTGTCTTTTTTTTTTTTTAAGATTTTATCTATTTATTTGACAGAGAGAGACACAGTAAGAGAGGGAACACAAGCAGGGGAAGTGGGAGAGGGAGAAGCAGGCTTCCTGCTGAGCAGGGAGCCCGATGCGGGGCTTGATCCCAGGATCCTGGGATCATGACCTGAGCCGAAGGCAGACGCTTAACTGACTGAGTCACCCAGGCACCCCACCCTATGTCTTTTGATTGGGACATTTAGTCCACTTACATTCAAAGTAATTATTGATAGATATGTATTTATTGTCATGTATTATTTGTTTTGTGGTTGTTTCTGAAGATTTTCTCTGATCCTTTCTGGTGTTCTTTCATGGTTTGCTTGTTGTCTTTACTGATATATCTGGATTTCTTTCTCCTTATTCTTTGCATGTTTATTACAGGTTTTTGATATATGGTTACCATTAGGTGTGTATATAACCTTTTCTGCTTACAGCAGTCTATGTTAAGTTGATCATGATTTAAGTTTGAACCCATTCTTTACTCATCTCCTCCCTACATTTTAGGTATATGTTGTCATATTATAGATCCTTTTTTTGTGAGTTCTTTGATTTTTTTACAGAAATATTCATTTTTACTGCTTTTGTGTTTCCTCCCTGCATCTCTTTTGTTCTCTCCTTTCCACTCAAAGAGTCCCCTCTAATATTTCTTGCAGGGCTGGGTTAGTGGCCATGAACTCCTTTAATTTTTGGTTGTCTGGGAAACTGTTTATTTCTGCTATTCTGAGTGATAGCCTTGCTGGATAGAGAATTCTTGGCTGCAGATTTTTCCCATTCAGCACTTTGAATATTTATAATGCCACTCTCTTCTTGTTTGGGAAGTTTATGCTAAAAAAAAATCCCCTGCTAGGCTTATGGGTTTTCCATTATAAGTTACTGTCTTCTTTTGTCTTGTGCTTTCAAATCTTTTTTCTTTATCACTGTATTTTGCCAATTTAATTATAATATATCTTGGTTTGGGTCTACTTTTGTTGACTTTGTTGGGGGTTCTCTGCACCTCCTGGATCTGGATATCTGTTTCCTTCTACAGATTTGGGAAGTTTTCTGCTCTTATTTCTTCAAATTTTTTGCCCCCTTTTCTCTCTTCTTCTTCTGGAACTCCTATAATATGAATATTATAACATTCGATGGAGTCACTGAGTTCCCTAAGTCTATTCTCATGTTGTATAATTCTTTTTTCTCTTTCTCTTTCTTTTTTATTTTTTTATTTTTTTATCTCTTTCTTTTTTTTTAAAGATTTTATTATTTATTTGAGAAAGAGAGTGAGGTTGAGCACAAGCCAGGAGAAAGGCAGAGGGAGAGGGAGAGGGAGAAGCAGACTCCCTGCTGAGCAGGGAGCCCAAGACAGGCCTCGATCCCAGGACCCTGGGATCATGACCTGAGCCACAGGCAGACACAACCATCTGACCCACCCAGGTGTCCCTTTTTTCTCTCTTTTGTTCAGGTTGATGACTTTCCGTTACTCTTCTAGGTCATTAATTCATTACTCTGCTTCTTCCAGTCCGTTGTTCATTCCATTAAGTGTGTTTCTCAGGGCACCTGGGTGGCTCAGTTGGTTAAGTGACTGCCTTCGGCTCAGGTCATGATCCCACAGTCCTGGGATCTAGTCCCACATCGGGCTCCTTGCTCAACGGGGAGCCTGCTTCTCCCTCTCCTTCTGCCTGCAACTCCGCCTGCTTGTGCTCCCTCTCTCTCTCAAATAAATTTTTAAAAAGTGTGTTTCTCATTTCATTTATTGAGCCCATTATCTCTCCTATGTTATTCCTTATCTCTGTGTTAAGAGTCTCACTCATGTCTTCTACTCTTTTCTCAAGTCCAGTGAGTATACTTATGATCATTGCTTTAAATATTCCATCAGGCATGTTACTTCTATCTCTTTCACTTACATCTCTGGCTGTGACCTTGTCCTGCTCTTTTGTTTGGGATGAATTTCTGTCTTCTAATTTTTTCTAAGTCTCTGAACCTGTTTCTGTGTGTTAGGAAATTTAGCTACATCTCCTAGAGTTAATGCTCTTATGAAGAAATCCTATAGTGCCCTGCCATGTAGTGTCCACTGTTCCCCAGGGCCTGGTGCTTTTGGGATTGTCTCCAGTGTGTGCTGCATGTGCTCTCCTCTTGTCTGCAGAGGCTCTCTTTGCCTGTTGTGGGAAGTGTTTGGTCCCTGGCCTGAATGTGGTGCATTTTGATTAGGTATGCTCTGGTCTGCTTGTGAAATAAGACCGGTCACCACTGCCACTAGAACTGAGGCTTTGCAAAACTCCCGGGTTGGGAGATGTGCTGGGAGATGTGCTGTGAGCAGGAGTCTGGTCTGGTCTTCTGGGTGAGGGGCACACAGCACTGGGACTAAGGCAAGAGAGACTGGGAAGGGCAGTTCCACCAGAGTGCAGGGGGGTGGGACTTGGTGTAAGCAATTTAGGTAGTGAGTGTGGATGCTATGCTGGTTCCCACAGGTGGCCCTGTGCTTATGCTGAGGAGTTGGGGAGGGAAATGGTGCTGGTCAGTTCCTTTGTTCCCAGAGGGTGTCTCCATGAATGCTGCCTCTCTGGAACATGCTGCAAAATGAGCAAATAACCTCTCCAGTGGGTGCCCTAGGTACTCTTAAGATCCCTGTTTCCATGCTGTATGTCCACATGTTGTTTGCCTGCCTTCTCTCTAAGAGTAGTGCAGTACCCTCTGGGCTCTATCCCAGCCAAGCTTGCTGACCCTTAAAACCAGTCATGGGGCACCTGGGTGGCTCAGTCAGTTATGCATCTGCCTTCAGCTCAGGTCATGATCCCAGGATCCTGGGATTAAGCCCCATGTCAGGCTTCCTGCTCAGCGAGGAGTCTGCTTCTCTCTCTCTCCCTCTGCCCCTCCCCCCACTCGGTTCTTCCTCTAGCTTGCTCTCTCTCAAATAAATAAAATCTTAAAAAAAAAACAAAAAACAAAAAACCCAGGCTTTAAGCCCCACTGGTTGCTAGAAGTCATAAAATTTGGCCCCACTTGCTTTCCAAGCCAATTGCTATGGCGATTCATTTTCCCCATGCTCCCCTGTATGTTAGTCTATCTCTCATCCTTCTCCATGAGCATGGCTCTCTCCCCACCACAGCGGCCATGATCCATTTCTCTCCCAAACTGTGTCTCCACACTTCCTACCTTCTTCCGTTTGGCCTCTTATCTACCTTTAGCTGTAGAGTTTGTTCTCAGTCTTCAGGTCAGTTTTTTGCAAATGGCAAATTTCATACAGTGCTGGAGAGATTGTATATTGTGACCAAATATTTAAAGTACATTTTGGCAAACACATGTATTTTGTTTATTTGTTTGTTTTTATTATGTTCAATTAGCCAACATATAGCACGTCATTAATTTTTGATGTAGTGTTCAATGATTCATTAGTTGCATATAACACCCAGTGCTCATCACATCACATGCCCTCCTTAAAACCCATCACCCAGTTACCCCATCCCCCACTCCCCTCCCTTCTGTAACCCTCAGTTTGTTTCCCAGAGTCCAGAGTCTCTCATGATTTTTCTCCTTCTCTGATTTCTCCCCATTCAGGGGAGGTGGGAGGGGTGATGGGTGAAATATGTGACAGGGATCAAGAGTACACTCATCTTGTAATGTACAGAATTGGTGAATCACTATACTGTGCACCTGAAACTAATACAACACTGTATGTTAACTATACTGGAATTAAAATTAAAAAGCATAGTGTCTTGGGGCACCTGGGTGGCTCAGTCGTTAAGCGTCTGCCTTTGGCTCAGGTCATGATTCCAGGGTCCTGGGATCAAGCCCCACATCCGGCTCTCTGCTAGCGGGGAGCCTGCTTCTCCCTCTCCCACTCCCCCTGCTTGTGTTCCCTTTCTCACTATGTCTCTCTCTGTCAGATAAATAAAATCTTAAAAAAAAAAAAAAAAAGCATAGTGTCTTATCCTGGATTATCTGAATGGACTCTAAATTCAATCACATATATCTTCATAAGAGAGGGAGGAGTTTACAGATAGACACAGAGGGGATGGCCATGTGAACATGGAGCAGAGAGAGATGCAGCCACAAGCCAAGGAATGCTAACAGCCCCGAGAAACTGGAAGAGGCAAGGGAGAGATTGTCTCCCAGAGCCTCCAGAGGGAGTGTGGTCCTGCCGACATCTTGATTTTGGACTTTTGGCCTTTAGAATTGACAGAAAAGATTTTGTTTTTAGAAGCCATCTAGTTAGTAGGCAGTTATTATGGCAACCTTAGGAAATGAATACGTTTATCCTTATACCACTTTATTGATTCTCCTTTCCTTGCTATATGAATTTTATATCTCTATGGAGTTAACTCTATGGAGTTTCCAATTGAGATACTGTCTGATAGAGAAACATAAGACAATGAGCTCACAAGGGAAATCGAGAGTCAGCAGTCTTATTCTCTAACATTATATAATACCCACAGGTATGCAGTTTTCATAAATGACCACTGAGGGCCAGAAGATGCTCAAGAACATTCTGTAGTCAAAGTTTTCCCATTGAGTTCATTCTTACAAAGGAGAATCAAGTCATGCACTTCAAGAATAAATACATGGAATTCAGACTGATACATTTATTTCTGCTTTATTCCATAAGACCCAGCAAGTGGTGATTTTGGAGGAGGAGGTCCTCCAACAAAGGTGATAGTGGTGATGATGGTTTACCACTTATACTAGGTAAAGAAGTTGGAGAAGGAAGAGCAACTCCTCAGGGTAGAGATGGTGCGGGTAGAGGGGTTCGTGGGCGTGGCCCTCCATCTGCCTATGAATGTGCTGGAAGAGATCCTGAAATCTAAGGGCAACCTGAGGGCCCATGCTCCTGTAACATAAAGAATCCAGTGTTTAAATGCTGCCAATAAAATACGTAGCAAATAACTCATAACAGTAGACGTTTGAGTTTTCTTATACATTCAAGGTGCTAAAAGCATTTTATCATGCTTTTCATTATTTATCACCATTCGAGGACTTAACAATATAGGCAAAAGACTTCTACAGATATTTGACCAACCCAAATAATGCAAAATTAGATTTCATGGTGAGAAAATACAAAGAAGAGTTAATCTCCACAGCTTGGGCCTGTTAGACTAGTTGGTTCAAATATAGATAATTAATATAAGGTCTCAAAATAGGGATGATTCCTATAAGGTCATGGTTTATTCCCCTTGGGAGTCAATTAGCTTTAAACAGAGTCTCTCTCACAGTGCCAATGACCTAGCTGTCATGTAATAATATAAATAATAACCATTTGCACAGTCGTATGCTTTTCAGAGTTTTTACATTTCTTATCCCTTTTGATCCTCATTATAACTTTGTAACATAGGTAGGGTAAGTTTCATCTCACTTCTTGTGGATGCAGAAACTGAAACTCCCAAGATTTAAGGGACTGAACAAAGTTCATGCAGTTAGTACGAAACATGATTAGGACTTGAATGCGGTTCTTCACACACCTAATTCAGCTCCCTTTCTTTTTTTTTTTTTTTTAAGATTTATTTATTTGAGGGGACAGCAGAGGGAGAGAATCTCAAGCAGACTCCCCGCTGAGCATGGAGCCCCATGCGGGACTTGATCTCGCAAGCCATGAGATCATGACCTGAGCCGAAACTAAGAGCTGTACGCGTAACCGACTGAGCCCCCCAGGCGCCCCTCAGCTCCCTTTCGACTACAGCAGGCTACCTCCTCATGAATGCATGTCATCTGTCACGAGCTGAGGACAAAACCTCGGGGGTAAAAAAAAGAGTAACTGACTTCTCAGAGATGTGAAAAGGGAAGGAGGATAGGAAAAATAAATGTAGTGGAAAATTATAAAATATTATAGTGAAACAGGACGAACTTGGGAAAAGGCCACTAGATTGGGTTGTTTGGAGTTCGACATAAGTTTTTAGTAGAATGGTAAAAAGAGACAAATTTAAAAAACAAACACCTAGTGAGCATCTCCTCTGTTAAGATGCAGTCTTCACTTTCTGCATATTCCCTCCAAACATAAGCTGTCTTGAGGACCGTTCTCAGCCAGCTGAGGAGTTTAGACACTCTTATGAAGATGTTAAGTATACACAGATGTTTTTGTCAAAGTGAATAGATCATGTTCATAGGTTATTAAATGATGGCCGAGAGGTCTACAAAGGGCTTTGGTTAATCATGAAATTGAGGATTTTCTTTTTGGAAGGAATTATTGTGGACCCAGTTATTCACATCCTCATGACAATTTCCTCCTGAAAACAGTTTTGCTTGTGTAATATATTCTGTCACAAAACATTCAGTGCGGCTTAAGAAACTGATGCCTGAGTCTTAGAAAATCAAATCTGGGACGCCTGGGTGGCTCAGCCGTTAAGCGTCTGCCTTCGGCTCAGGTCATGATCCCGGATCCTGGGATCGAGTCCCATGTTGGGCTCCCTGCTCCACAGGGAGCCTGCTTCTCCCTCTGCCTCTGCCTCTGCCTCTGCCTCTCTGTCTCTCTGTTTCTCATGAATAAATAAATAAAATCTTAAAAAAAAAAAAGAAAAGAAAAGAAAATCAAACTTGTAGGGTTATGTAAATGAAAATGTTAATTTTACCAGAAAGTCTACTTCTGGGGCACCTGGGTGGCTCAGTTGTTAAGCGACTGCCTTCGGCTCAGGTCATGATCCTGGAGTCCCTGGATCGAGTCCCGCATCGGGTTCCCTGCTTGGCAGGGAGTTTGCTTCTCCCTCTGACCCTCCCCGCTCTCATGGGCTCTCTCTCATTCTCTCTCTCTCAAATAAATAAATAAAATCTTTAAAAAAAATTTATTAAAAAAAAAAGAAAGTCTACTTCTGGCCACACATTCCTTCCATCTACCAAAATAATTTCCTGCCATAGAACTCACCGTGACATGATACAATATGATCTAGTTTTATTACCTGGGTTCACTGTTGCCAGGATTCTGTCCCAGGCTCTTTGATCTTTTTTTTCTTTTTTTGCATCTTGGCTTAAACTTCGGTTTGGGCTCTGAATTCTTCATTTACCTGCAATGATCACCAGCATAAATGTATACTTAATCATAGTTTTAAACAATATTATGTATGAAATACAGCATTACATTTCAGATCCTCAGTCACAATTATTTTCATGACAATTAAGGATCCATGTGGGGGGTGCGGCTAGTGCTGCTGGTGGTAGTGGGTGTAGTGGAAGGAATGAAGAAATAGGTCTCCAACCAAAGACAGACAAAGTCATTTTCACTTCTGGAAAAGAAAAGTTTTGCATGATTTATCATGGACATCTTTACTATTTTAATTGTTTTAGCCATCCCTACTTGAGTTCTGGAAAATGTCCCACAGTGGCTGATCCAAAACTTTTCTAGTCTATTTAAATTTCAAGCCCCCCCCCCCCCCCCCGCCAAGAGCCTTCATGGACAGTAAATGAACTTCCCAGAAGATGGAGGACCTCCAGTGTGAGATAGTTCAACTTGACTATTATCCATGTTAAGATTTCTCTGAGTCCACACTCTCATCTCCAACCGCCCCCCCCCCGAAGTTATCTTCTCCACGTGGTTGTTTTTTTTCCCCCCAAGCTTGGTGCCTATACAAGCGAACTGTCCACAATTTCCTTTTTTATGTAAATAGTTCGTTTGTACATTCTCACAGAAAAGCACTGAATCTTTCTGCTTGTAATTTAAATTGGCTAAACGATCTGTAACCACACATAAAATCGGAATCACAGGGACGCCTGGCTGGCTCAGTCGGTGGAGTGTGCGACTCTTAGTCCCAGGGTTGTGAGTTTGAGCCCCACTTTGGGTGTAGAGATTACTTAAAAAATAAAATCTTACAGAAAAGCTGTGACAGATGATCATCATTTGCTTATTGCCGACAATGCCAGCCCCAAATTAAGTTGATTCTAAGATTCTCAAAGGGAATTTTGAATGTGCTCCTTGAAACAATAACATTTGATGCATCAAGTTCTAATAAAAAAATCCAACTTCTTTCACCAAAAAACTGACAATTTCATACAAACATTTTATACTCCAAGCTCTTAGAATTTATTCTACCCACAGAAAAACAAAGAAATCCTGAAGTAACTTCAGTGATACTCTAATTCTTGTTGAGAATTGATTACCTCCAAGATAAGCCAAACTCTCAAAAGAGAGACCACACAAGCCCTTTATGTTGCTATCAGAGGCTGAAAACTAGAGACCATTTACACTTGTGCTCCTTTCTTACACCAACAAGAGAGAAATACTATACTGAAGTTTCATAGGATTTAAGAGAAAAAGAAATGAAACTTCTGATAGAACCTAATGGTAGTTATGCTTGCAGGAGAGAAGCAAAAGAAATCTAGATTTAAATCACATTAGCATAGTAATCAATCCGTCATTTGTTCTACCTACCACATTTATATAAGTCATTCACATGGAAAGAAAAGGCAAACTCAAATTCTAGCAAGTCTACATGAGGTAGCACCATCATTTAAAAATTTTTAAAGATTTTATTCATTCATTCATTCACAGTGCGAGCAGGTGGAGGGGCAGAGGGAGAAAGAATCTCAAGCATGGAGCCAGACGCAGGGCTCGGTCTCAGGACCCCAAGATCATGAACTGAGCCAAAATCAAGAGTCGGTTGCTTAACGGACTGAGCCACCCAGGTGCCCTAAAATTTTTTAATTAAATATTTCAAGGAAACCAAGTAAGGTCACTCCAAGCAGGGAGAGAAAAGAGAGATACACCATTTTGTTGCTATCAAGAAGAGTGACATTAGAGACCATGGCAGACAGAACTAGGTTACTAGCTTGTAATTCTACAAAGAACCACCTATTCAAAGGAAATGAAACCTGAAGGGATGCAATGCAGTTTAGCCACGAAGGAGGGCACATGCAACACCCCTGTAGCGCCTAGTTTTGGTGAACAAGGGACATTGCACTCCAGGGCGCTACAGGACCTCACCTCACAAGGCCATTACTTTCAAGATCAGGAAATGTAGCTGATTTTCCTGATACATAGGAACAGACACAATGAGGAGTCAGAGGAATATGTACCAAATGAAAGAGCAGGACAAAATCACAGCAAAAGCGCAAAATGCAATGGAATGAGAAATTCAGATAAATAAAAGCTGATGGTAGTTCATTACTATTAAATCTGCCCTGCAAGAATTGCTAAAGGAAATCCTTTAGGTTGAAATAAAAGGATTCTGGACTGTAACTCAAACCCATATGAAGATCTAAAGTTCTCCCATAAGGCTTTTCAGAAACCCCAAATCCTGGAAACAATTTGAATGTCCAGCAACAGGTAGATAAACAAAATATATCCATATGATGAAATACTCAACAATAAAAATGAATGCACCATTCATGAGGATACACCATGGATGAATCTTGAAAGTGTTGTGCTGTGTAAACGAAGCCAGAAACAAAAGGATTATTGCTCTATGATTCCATGTATATGATTTTAAAAAAGACAGAACTATATGGACAGAAATTAGATCAGTATAGTTGCCAAGGACGGGAAGTAGAATGAGGTCACAGACTACAAAGGAACCTGAGAAGACTTTCTGGAGTCATAGAAATATTCCATATCTTGATTATGATAGTGGGTACATGATGACTAAATACCTTTGTCAAAACTTGTACAATTTTGTACACTTTGAAAGTGAATTTTACAATAGGTAAATTATACCTCAATAGAAATGAAGGTATATGAAATGAAAGTTCACGCAGAGACCCACACACGTAGGTACCTAGCCTTATTTATAATGGCCAAAAGCTGGAAACACTCCAAATGTCCGTGAACAGATGAATGGACATACTATGGCATATCCATACAATGGAACACCACTCAGCCACAAAGGGAATGAACCACTGACACAAAGAACATGGATGAATCTCACAACTATTCTGAGTTTAAAAGGCCAGGAAAAAAAAAGAGAGTACATACTCTATGATTTCATTTATATAAAACTCCAAAAAATTCAAAATTTTGTAAGTGATATACAGCATATCAATGACTTTCAGGGGATGAGAGGGACAGGGATGTGTAAGGGGAGGATAACAGAGGGGAAAAGGTAATTTCAGGGGATAGTGAATATGTTCCTTATGTTGATTTGGTGATATTATCACAGATGTGCATGTACATCAAAATTTATTAAATTTTATTTAATTTATTAATATTTATAATTTTTAATTATAAAGCTATGTATAAAAACTTCATATTTCATGGTTGGTAAGATTGTATCACGTATTTCTTAATTTTTTTTTAAGATTTTATTTATTTGACAGAGAGAGACACAGTGAGAGAGGGAACACAAGCAGGGAGAGTGGGAGAGGGAGAAGCAGGCTTCCCGCTGAGCAGGGAGCCTGATGCGGGGCTCGATCCCAGGACTCTGGGATCATGACCTGAGCCGAAGGCAGAGGCTGAACGACTAAACCATCCAGGCGCCCCTGTATCATGTATTTCTTTAAGCACAAGCACTTGCCAGTTGACAAATGTTTTGCTTGTTTACAGTGCTTCACTATCATGCTACCAAAAAAAGAAATCAGTATCTGTCGTTAAGTTTTAAATCCTGGGGCACCTGGGTGGCTCCATCAATTAAGTGGCTGTCTTCGGCTCAGGTCATGGTCCCAGGGTCCTGGGATCGAGCCCCGCATCGGGCCCCGCATCGGGCTCCCTGCTCCGCGGGAAGCCTGCTTCTCCCTCTCCCACTCCCCTGCTTGTGTTCCCTCTCTCTCTGTCTCTCTCTCTCTGTCAAATAAATAAAATCTTAAAAAAAAAAAAAAGTTTTAAATCCACAAATACTAAGAACTGTATAACCAAAACAAAATTTCAAAGTGTCACAAAACAGAAAGGAGAGTATATGTAATGTAATTAAGTTATTAAGTAAAACAACTATATCAAATATTTAGTAAGCCCTACCTTTTTGAAAATGTCCACTGCTGTGTTGGTCGCTTTCCTCAACTTTTGCCTAGTCCATGAAGAATCTATTAAGGTTAAACACAAGCAATTAGAAATTATTGTATCATATTCCTCAGGCAAAAGGTGACTGCCAGTCTATGCTTCTATTCAGACTGTCATTTTTATGTCAATTGCCATTAAAGAGAAATTGACCTGGACCACACATAACGCATAAGCTACCACATACTGTTTCCTCAGCTGACTTACTGAGTTCAACAGTAGGCTCCTCGAGGACCATAACCAAAAATCCATGAACATATCTTGACCAAATTCTCACCATTTTTAAGGAATTCCAAATATTTTTAACTTTTATGATTATAGAATTCTATACAATTTTGTTCATAATTTCTTATGGTTGGAACTGTGTCAAAGACTCCATATTTACAATGATTAAGTCTCAAAATACCCTTAAACCAAAAGCAGTGATAGGACATACAATAACACTCATTAATTCAGGATTCCTATGACAGATTTCACTTAAATAACATTTGATCTGGGGAAGAAAGTATCAAATACATAAGAAAAAAAATTTCTCAAGTACACTCAAATACACGAGGTGCATGTTTTATAAATATATATGTAATTGCCTTAATGATAAATTATCCTTAGTTAAGCAGGAAATAAATATCTAAATAACCTCTTTGGAGCAACAATGTAGTTTTCATTACTGTATGTTCCAAAGGATTATAAAACATGATGTAATGGATGTGTTCGTTATTTTGATTGTGGTGATCATTTATCAGGTGTAACATATATCGATTTTATAAAATGTACACTTTATTTTTTTTTAAGATTTTTTATTTATTTAATTGAGAGAGAGTGTGCATGAGCTGGGCGAGGGGCAGAGGCAGAGGGAGCAGCAGAGTCCCCGCTGAGCAGGGAGCTCAGGGAGTTCCATCCCAGGACCCTGGAATCATGACCTGACCCAAAGGCAAATGCATAACCGACTGAGCCACCCAGGCACCTCAAATTGTACACTTTAAATGGGGCAGTTTGTGTTCCGTCAATTATACTTCTATTAATAAAATTTAGAAAAAAACCGCAAAAGTTGTGTGTTTGGGGCAAAGCAACCAAGGAAAAACCTGGTTAAGTAAGCAGAGCAAAGACTGGTCTGATCCAGTCTTGCTGGCTATGCTTGAGAATTATTTTTATGCTGATTCCAAGGGGAATTCATTTGAGTTTCGGGCAAGGGGCCTATACGATTTGAGTGATGGAAGCCACTAGAATCACAGATGAGTGAAAGTGGAAGAAGAGACATGGAGCTTCCTAAGTCCAGGTGCTCTTCAGAATGATGTCAGAGGTTTCCTTAAAGTTCCTGAAATATCTGCAAATTTGTGTATGTATGTGCACATGTGCATTTCAATTTTTTTATTGAAGTATAATTGACATATGATGTTATATTAGTTTCTGGTGTACAACATATTGATTATACAATCCTATACATTACTCGGTGCTCATCATAAGTATAGTCACTGTCACTGTACAGCATTAATACAACATTACTGACTACATTTACTATGCTGTACCTTTTTTTATTTTATTTTATTTTTTTTAAGATTTTTATTTATTTATTGAGAGAGATAGTGATAGAGAGAGAGCATGAGAGGGGGAGAGGCAGAGGGAGAGGGAGACTCCCCGCCGAGCAGGGAGCCCGATGCGGGACTCGATCCCGGGACTCCAGGATCATGACCTGAGCCGAAGGCAGTCGCTTAACCAACTGAGCCACCCAGGTGCCCCTGCTGTACCTTTTTTTAAAAGATTTTATTTATTTGGGGCGCTTGGGTGGCTCAGTCGTTAAGCGTCTGCCTTCGGCTCAGGTCATGATCCCAGGGTCCTGGGATCGAGCCCCGCATCAGGCTCCCCACTTGGCGGGAAGCCTGCTTCTCCCTCTCCTGCTCCCCCTGCTTGTGTTCCCTCTCTCGCTGTGTCTCTCTCTGTCAAATAAATAAATAAATAAATAAATAAATAAATAAAGATTTTATTTATTTGAGAGAGAGCAGAGTGTGAGAGAGAACACACGAGTGGGGGTGAGGGGCAGAGGGAGAGGTAGAAGCAGACTCCCCACTGAGCAGGGAGTCCAATGCGGGGCTCCATCCCAGGACCCCGGGACCATGACCTAAGCAGAAGGCAGACACTTAACCGACTGAGCCTCCCAGGCACCCCTATGCTGTACTTTTTATCTGTGACTTATTTAGTAACTGGAAGCCTGTACCTTTTCATTCCTTTTATCTATTTTGCCTATTCCCTCATCCACCTCCCTTCTGGCAACCACCAGTTTGTCTCTGTATTTAAGATCTATTTTTTTTTATTTATTTGTGGGGTTTTTTTGATTCCACATATAAGTAAAATCATATGGTATTTGTCTTTCCCTGACTTATTTCACTTAGCACAATACCCTCTAGGTCCATCCAAGTTATTGCAAATGGCAAGATCTCATTCTTTTTTATGGCTGAGTAATATTCTAGTGGTGTGTGTGTGTGTGTGTGTGTGTGTACACACAGACACCACATGTTCCTTATCCATTAATCTATTGAGGGACACTTGGGTTGCTTCTATATTTTGGCTACTGTAAACAATGCTTCAATAAACATAGGGGTGCATATATCTTTTGAATTAGGGTTTTCATTTTCTTTGGGTAAATATCCAGTCGTGGAATAACTGGATCATATGGTATTTCTATTTTTAATTTTCTTTTTTTTTTTAAGATTTTATTTATTTATTCATGACAGACAGAGAGAGAGAGAGGCAGAGGGAGAAGCAGTCCCCAATGCGGGACTCGATCCCAGGACCCTGAGATCATGACCTGAGCTGAAGGCAGACGCTTAACCATCTGAGCCACCCAGGTGCCCTATTTTTAATTTTCTGAGGAACCTCTATACTGTTTTCCATAGTGGTTGTACCAACTTACATTCCCACCAAAAGTGTACAAGTGTTCCCTCTTTTCTCCACAACCTTGCCAACACTTGTTATTTGTTGTCTTTTTGATTTTAGCCATTCTGACAGGTGTGAGGCTATATCTCCTTGTGGTTTTGATTTGCACTTCTCTCATGATTAGTGACCGCTACACCAAAATAAAAAGCTTTTGCACAGCAAAGGAAACCATCAACAAAACAAAAAGGCAGGGGCGCCTGGGTGGCTCAGTCATTAAGTGTCTGCCTTCAGCTCAGGTCATGATCCCAGGGTCCTGGGATCCAGCCCCACATCAGGCTCTCTGCTCGGTGGGAAGCCTGCTTCTCCCTCTCCCACTCCCCCTGCTTGTGTTCCCTCTCTTGCTGTGTCTCTCTCTGTCAAATAAATAAAATATTTTTAAAAAAAGGCAACCTAGTGAATGAGAGAAGATATTTGCAAATAATATAGCCAATAGGGGTTAATATCCAAAATATATAAAGAATTTCTACAACTCAACACAGAAAAAAAATGAATCTGCTTAAAAAATGGACTGAGGACCTCAATAGACATTTTTCCAAAGAAGATATACAGATGGCCAAGAGACACATAAGAAGATGCTCAATATGCATGTACTTTAAAATTAATTTCCACACTATTCATCAGCTTCTAGGAAAGGTCCTTGAGCACGCATTTTTAAGAACTTTTCATTTAACTGCCCCACATATTAGTTGAAGATCAAAACCTGGAGAAGTAAAGAAATTTGTTCAAAATCAGAGCTAGCAGGTTGATGAGATCACAGGGGTGTTTGGGTCCTGCCTCCCCTCTCTCTCCAGGTGCTCTCCTCTCTCCCTGCTCCAGCTGCTGATTCACAGAGCTTAGGAACTGGCACACGGTACACGAAGCCAGTGTCTGCGGAACCCTGACCCACTCACCACGTCAGCAGGAGAGACTGTGCCGAGGATATGGTCCATAGGAGGTGATAAGCCAGTACAACCATTAGAAAACAGGCTCTTAGGACTCCTTCATCAAACTTGTAGAACGAGGGGTGCCTGGGTGACTCAGTGGGTTAAGCGTCTGCCTTTGGCTGAGGTCGTGATCCCGGGGTCTTGGGATCGAGTCCTGCATCGGGCTCCCTGCTGAGTGGGGAGCCTGCTTCTCCCTCTGCTTGCCACTCCCCCTTCCTTGTGCTCTCTCGCTGACTCGCTCTCTCAAGAAAATAAATTCTTTTAAAAAACTGGCATAACGTTCTAAATCACCTACATGTGTCTTACTGTTAAAATCATAAAAGAACACATCATCATAATAAGCTACTCATCTTTCACTATTACTCTGAGGCTGCCCTGTGCCACAGACCAAAAGAAGAACATAGAATTGGCATTCACAAGTGTAGTTTTCGTCTTACAAAGACGAAAGACTTACTGTCTCTGTCAAATAAATAAATAAAATCTTTAAAAAAAAAAGATTTTATTTATTTGAGAGAGAGGGAGAGAGCGCACAAGCAGAGGGAGTTGCAGGCAGAGGGAGAAGCAGGCTTCCCGCTGAGCAGGGAGCCCGATGCGGGGCTCGATCCCAGGACCCTGGGATCACAACCTGAGCCAAAGGCAGACCCTTAACCAACTGAGCCACCCAGGCGCCCTCACAGGGGAAGTTTCAACATCATCCTTTTCCTCAGCAGTCCAGGGAGACAAACAGGATAACCTCAAATTTTTCCTAGTTCTAGGGTTAATGAAAGTATCAGGCTACTCCAACAGCTTTAGAAGGTATCAAGGTACTGAAATAACACCACCTTTCTTTGCTCCATCTTGAGCACTAAAACCCGAGCTATAATATTAATTGAAGTCTAATGTACACATGATTCCTACAAGACTTCCATGTCACCAGTATAAACTGGATTAAAACATTTCAGAAAGTCATGCTTGTAAATATCAAGGGGATAAAACACAAGGTACAACTTACCATGAAACCAGCTCTAGTCACATCATGGCCAGATAGGTTAATATTTCCAATCCCCCAGGCTCACGATCTCTCATGATCATCGTAATGAACCATTAGAGAGACTGAGTGTACGTGGACACAGTGCTAACCAGATATTAACAGAGGAAGTTCTGTGCGAGGCCTACTTTGAAAAAGGAGCCTATGTGCTGAAGGGGGTAGCACAGAATCAAAGTACAACTGAGCTGACTTTACTTACCTGTCAGAAGTGTGACGTCAGTGTCTGCTCCTCGTCTAAGCTTGAACTCTGTGTCCACACCACGGCAAGGGCAGCACGTACTGTCGATCACACTCTTCGGTTTTCTTCAAAACCGTGAGCTGAAAAGGAAAGAAATTATTTTTGATTACCCTTGCTGCGGATACGAATCAATTTCTCTAAGTAAAGATTCTGCATGAGAAAGAGAAGAATACACCAGTCTTTTACTAGCCCTGTAACAGGAACCCTTCCAGCCACCACACACCCTTGGGAGAAATAAGCCTAGACTTAAAGATGGTCTGGGCTTTATATGCTGCAAACCCTTTGTGATGTCATCAGCTGTGACCATTTGGTGACCTCACACTGTAATTTGCTGGGATTCAGTGGCCAGAGATACTGATCAACCTTTCTGCTTACTTAAACTACTGTCCCTGAGGTTAATGAAATAAATATCCTGTTAGCCCTATATCCACGGATATAGAAATGTTCCCCACTTGCTACTTAATGATTCCAATGAGGGATGAATATCTTGGCACTAGGTGGCAAGGGACAGTTTGGATTTTGTACAGCTCTGTCACTCAAGTAGCTGTGAACAGCTTATAAAACTGGACTTAGCCACTTAAGATGCTAAGCAAGGAATAATTTATGCACATGTTCAAGAAAGATCCAACATATAGAAGCATACATGCTTAGTACGCATGGCTAGAGCCTCAACTTACTCAAAGTAGCAAAGGTCTTGAACCATATCTTTTTTTTTTTGAGATTTTATTTTTTATTTGACAGAGAGAGAGAGCACAAGCAGGGGGAGCAGTCACAGAGGGAGAGAGAGGAGCAGGCTCCCTGCAGGGAGCCCGACGCGGGGCTCGATCCAAGGACCCTGGGATCACGACCCGAGCCGAAGGCAGACGCCTAACCGTCTGAGCCACCCAGGCGCCCCAACCATGTCTTAATTACATAAACCATCAAGGTAATCCTGGCCCTAAACACAGCACCTATTACATCAAAACTGGAGGGAAAATGATTATTGGTCAGGGGCTAAAAGATTTAACAGAGTAACAGCAGAAAGAGGTACAGGATATTCCCTCTCGTTGCAGCTCTCATCCCCAGATCTCCACAGGGCTCTCCTCCTACTTCCTTCACATCTTATGTCACCTTCTCAATGAGGTGTCCAATCCACCTGAAGGTGCAAATCCCCACAGCCACCCCATGCCCTACTCCCCTCTCCTGCCTTCGTGTGCTGGAAAGCTCGGATCATTATCCCTTATGATATATATGTGTCTCATTGGTCTTATTTTTTCATTCCCCCCCACTAGAAGGTGAGCCCCATGTGAGCTGGGATTTCCCCCCCCTTTACACGGTGTATTTCTAGCAATAAGAATGGTGCCAGACACATAGTAGGTGCTCAGCAAAAATGAGTCACCCTGACCTTCTGGGCCCTCATGTTTATGTCATTCCTACTGGTGAACCTGCTAACCATATAGTGTGTGTCTTTCAGAATTTCATTCCACATATTTGCATTTTAATACAAGGGCCCATTAGATACCATCCTCCGCAATTAAGCTCTTGAATATGTCTACAATACAGTAATCCCTCTTTTTTTTTTTTAAGATTTTACTTATTTATCAGAGAGAGAGAGAGACAGAGGCAGGCAGAGGGAGAAGCAGGCTCCTTGCTGAGCAAGGAGCCCGATGTGGGACTCGATCCCAGGACCCTGGGATCATGACCTGAGCCAAAGGCAGAGGCTTAACCGACTGAGCCACCCAGGTGTCCCTACAGTAATCCCTCTTATCTGTGGAAGACATGATCCAAGACCCCCAGTGGATGCCTGAAACCATGGAGAGTACCAAATCCTATATATGCCATATTTTTTCCTGGACAAACATATCTATGAGAAAGGTTAACTTACAAATTAGTTACAGTAAGAGATCAACAATAACTAATAATTAAGTAGAACCATTATGACAATATACTGTAAAGTTATGTGAATAGAATCTCTCTCTCAAAATATCTTATTGTACTGTACTCATTCTTCCCCTTCCTATGATGATGGGAGATGATAAAATGCCTACGTGTCAGGATGAAGCGAGAGGAATGACATTAGGCATGGTGACATAGTGGTAGGCTACTATTGACCTTCTTAAACTATGTCAGAAGGAGCATCTGCTTCTGAACTACAGTTGTCTGCGGGTAACAAACTGGAAAAGGAAATCGTTGATAAGGGGGGACTATTGTGCTTAAAATCACTTGGGGGCACCTGGCTGGCTCAGTCAGTGGACCATGTGACTCTTGATCTTGGAGTTGTAAGTTCGAGCCCCATGTGTGGTGTGGAGTTTACTTAAAATTTAAAAACAAATTTAAAAAAATCACCTGTCTTCAGTCCTAACTGGAAACGTAACCAATTACAGATGTGTAAATGTAACCATAATCAACACTTTCAGTTTGGTATTCTGTCTATCTCAATAACATACTCAAAATATGATTATTTTATCAGTTTTGGTTGGCATAGTTGTTTTTGTGGACTTTTTAAGCTCTTTAACATGGATCATTTGGGGCACCTGGGTGGCTCAGGTGGTTCATCATCTGCCTTCCGCTAGGGTCATGATCCCATGGTCCTGGGATTGACTCTCACGTGGGGCTCCCTGCTTGGCGGGGAGCCTGCTTCTCCCTCTCCCTCTGCCCCCCTCCCCTGCCCCTGCTCATGCTCTTTCTCTCTCAAATAAATAAATAAAATCTTTAAAAAAATGGATCATTTCAAACAAAGCAGATATAACAATATAACAAATATTCTATGTACCAACCAGCTTCAACAAGGACCAATATTTTGCCAATTATGTTTTATTTATTTAATTTTTTTGCCTGCATATTTCAAAGCATATTCCAGATATCATATGTCCTCATGCATAAATTCAAGGAAGGTATTTCCTCCACGTACTCTACTGTACCATAAACTCTAACAAATAGGACTTTAAAAAAACATAAGCAAAATACCATCATTACATCTAACAACAATTACAATTACTCCCTGATGCCATATCAAAACATCCATGTGTAATGAACCTGTTGGACTTGAATGTGTCTTTTAAATTTGATTTGTTCTTACTGGGATGCAAACAAGGATCATACATAGCATTGGCTGAAATATGACATAATCTTCGTTATTGATAACCACTCTCACCCCGTTTTTTTTCTTGCCACGCCTTGGATGAAAAGACTGAGTTATTTGTCCTGTAGAATTACTCACATTCTAGATTTCTTTGTATGTATCTTCTTGCTGGCCATGTTCCATGAGAAAGAGAATTTCCTAAGTGACATCTATGAACTTGGTTAGATTTAGGCTCAGTTACTTTAGCCAGAACATTTTATAGTCAACACTTTGTACTCTTATTACATTATATCAGAATGCACATGATATCTGTTGCTCACATTTTTGGTGATGTAAACATTGATCAGTGGATTGCAGTATTCTTAGTTTACCCACACTGTACAATTTTCTAAAAATCTTTTACCTAAATTTTATTGAATTTATGTGCTGGTTCACATTTTTTTATTGATATGCCCTTCACATAACATGTAACTCACCACATTAAAGTATACTAGTCACTGTTTTTTAGAATACAAAGAAAAGTGTGCAGCAATCATCATAATAAATTTTAGGACATTTTCATCACCTCAGAAAGAAAGTTCATACTTATTATCAGTCTATTCTCATTCTTTTTTTTTTAAGATTTTATTTATTGATTTGACAGAGAGAGACACAGCGAGAGAAGCAACACAAGCAGGGGGAGTGGGAGAGGGAGAAGCAGGCTTCCCGCGGAGCAGGGAGCCCGATGTGGGGCTCGATCCCAGGACCCTGGGATCATGACCTGAGCGTAAGGCAGATGCTTAATGACTGAGCCATTCAGGCACCCCATTCCCATTCTCTTGATGGGACTGATAACCCACCGGAATGGTATAAAGGTAGCTTCAAAGTGAAAACACCGGAGATACAAGAGCAGCGGAAGCCTTGTCTGAATTCCTCTTATCTGGCTAAAGCAGTGGGTTGTTTTTTTTTTAAAGACTTTATTCATTTATTTCAGAGAGAGCACAGAGGAAGAGAGAGAGGGAGAGGGAGAAGCAGACTCCCTCTGAGCAGAGAGCCCGACGTGGGGCTCGATCCCAGGACCCTGAGATCATGACCTGAGCTGAAGGCAGGTGCTCAACTGACTGAACCACCCAGGTGCCTCAGCAGAGTTTTATGAGACAGCTGCCACAACCTGCCCCACCCCCATTGGGGGGGTTCTCTAATCAGGGAGGCCTGGTCTTGAGCCTTAGAACATTCCAAAAGATTGCATAAGCAAACCTCATAAGAACTTTCCATCCTTTGAAGTGCACCCCGCCTTGTGAAGTTGGTATATAAACCCCTATCTCAAGCTCTTTAGGGAGCCTCTTCATCTAAAAGCTCTCACATAGTAAATAAACTTTTCTCTTGTTAATTTACTGTTAATTAATTTGCAGTCCCCAGTCACTGTACTAAATTGGTAGAGGAAAAGTTTTTCTCCCAACATCTCCCTGCCATTAGCTCTTGGCAACCAATAATGACTTTATATCTCTATAGATTTGCCTGTTCTGGATATTTTTAGTGAATGAGATCTTACTATGTGTGGTTCTTTAGTGTCTATCTTTTTTCATGTATCATGATGTTTTCAAGGTTCTTCAGTGTTTTAGCTAGTATCAGTTCTTCATTTCAGATTATGGCTAAATAAAAATCTATGGTATGGGGGCGCCTGGGGGTGCTCAGTGGGTTAAGCATCTGCCTTTGGCTCAAATCATGGTCTCAGGGTCCTGGGATCGAGCCCTACATCGGGCTCCCCACTCAGCGGGGAGTCTGCTGCTCTCCCTCTGCTCCTCCCCACTGCTCGTGCTCTCTCTCCCCCGCTGAAATAAATTAATAAAAAAATCTTTAAAAATCCATGGTATGGATATAACACAATTTGTTTAAACATTCATCAGTTGACAGACATTTGGGTTGTTTCCCCCTTTTGGCTTTAGGAAAAATGCTGCCACAGTCATGTACATGTTTTTGTCTGAATATGTTTTCAGTTCTCTGTTATACCCAGGAGTGCAATTGCTGATCATGTGGTCACTCTGTAACTTTTGGTGGATGTGCTTTCCACAGTTTTTGTACAATTTTATATTCTCACCAGCAGCGAATGGGGGCTCCAATTTCTCCACATCCTTATCACACTTGTTATTTTCCATTTTTCATTACAGCTGTCCTGGTAGGTGTGAAGGGGTATCTCCTGTGATTTTGATTTCTCTAATGATGTTGGGAATTTTTTTCGTGTGCTTTTTGGGCCTTTGCGAGGAGAGAGCAAAGGCTTTTACAGTATGAGAGCCCCGTGTGTATGAATGCGTCCTGTGCAGCCCTGGTTCACCAGGGCAAAGCCATTTAGACCTTGGTCTCCAGGTACAATGGGTGGTTAGTAGTTACGGAATCTGCGTCTGTCCAGGGAAGGGGGACAGAAGAAAAGGCTTTGGCTTGGATCTCTGCGTGAGGAAATGGCCCTTACTCCCTAAAGGGAAGGACAGGAAACACAGGGAGGAATCCAGAGGGGCAGCTGAGATCCAGAGGCCAGGGATGGGTCAGGAAATTCACTTTCCACTCTGCCTGGTGGGGAAGGTGAGGCAGAGCATTCACCCCTCCCTCCACCCTCTGGGAGTGGAAGGCAGCAGGGATTTGTGAGATTTCCTGTGTTGACCTGAAATGCAGAAAGGCAGCTGCCTGACCAGGACAAAGCCCCTCAGGGTCCTCATTGTCTTCCTTCCTTCCCGCCCTAGAAATCCCCACCCACTTCTGTCCAAACAACTAGGGAATGGGTGAGAAAAGGGGTCTGGGAGTCAGAGCCTGAGCCAGGCTGGGAGTAGCCTGGACTGGATGGTCCTGAGGGGACTATGCAGGTGTGGGCAAAGGTGACTTCAATTTCTCCCTTGAAATATGTCTGTATTCATGAAGATCCTTTTTCTTAAATAAGCAAGGACTCCAAACAGGAAGAGTCAACAAAGTTCATTGTTTAGTAACCAAATAGCTGGAGGACCCATGAATCTGGGGAGCTGCTTCGACGACTGTTTTAAAAGATCTTTATTTGCATCCATCTCTCTGTCTCTCTCCTTAGGTTACAACCTGCTGGGAGGATCCACGCACCCAATTAACACCCCTCATCTCTGAGTGGCCGCATCACCTGTTAGGCTCGTGTTCCTCTCGTCATCTACACGTGTCTCCATCATGGGAGCATTCTTTTGCAAGAGCAACGTGTTCCTCTCTCAATAGTTAGGAAGAAATAAATCAAGACGGCGGTCAGGCAGGAGAGACCTGCCAGTCACTGTGATTCCTTCGGCTCCAGCACATCCGCATCCACCTAGGCGGTGTGGACACCGCCTGCAGCAGCCCCGGCCCCACGCAAGGAGCGCTGGCTCCCTAGCAGGTCCTTGGCAAAGGGCGGGAGGGAGGTGACGGGGAGGAGGGAGCGCCTGCTGTCCGGATGCCAACTCTCACCTAGGGAGGGAGCAATTAAAGTTTTCATAACCTCAGGCATAAGAATGATGCAAACTTGTAACATCATTTGGGAGTGTATTTATTTAAACTTCTTTTCCCTCTAAGTAGTTTTGCGACTGTTGAACGGTAAATTTCCGGTTTTATTGTATCAGCACATTTATCATTTACTTTCTTGCTGGCAGAGACCCAGCAAGGGGGACAAAATTGGTTCTCCTTTGCACCTGGCCTTAGGCGGGACTCCCCTCGGACTTTCTCACGCCCGCCTCTCCCCGCCCCTTCTCGCACCCGGGACCTTCTGAGGCTGTCCCACCCCTCCGCTGGGCGGGGCTGGGGGTGTGGATACTTGATTTCTCTGACTCCCCGCGCTGCGGGAGTCTTTCAACTCTCACCCGCTCCCGGGAACAATGAAGTGAAGTTCAGGTTTGAGGGCAAGTGATGGCTCCCTATTCCGGGTCAGAGGTGCGGCGGTGGTCCCGAGGTGTCAAGACTGAACGACCGGGTGCGACTGGGTCTTTGCCGACGGCGTGTTGCCTCCGCCAGGTGGGTCCCTTGGCCTTTGTCCCTTTGCCTTTCCTTTCCTTTCCTTTCTGGGACGGGAGGGGGCCCGGGGCCGGGGGCCGGGTTTGGGCGGCCCTTCCGGGCCCGAGGACCTTCCCTGTCCCCCAGCGTGTGGGCAGCCTGTGCCCGGCGTGCTTACCTAGGCCCTCGGTGGCTGCAGCCCCGACGGCTGGGAGGGACGGGGCCGAGGCGGGGCGAGGTCCGGCGTTTGGGCGAGGCTGGTCGGGCGTGAGCGCCGGGATTGGACCGCCGCCTACGTTCTAAGTTCTGTGCCCCGGCGGGGGTAGGGGGGAGAGCCTGGTCGTAGCGCCCCTGGGGCCTCCGCGGCCGGCGGGTGGGCCTGGGAGCGTTTCCCTGTGGCTGTGGGTGGGCCCGCGGATTCCTGGATTCCTTCTCCCCTCTCTCCCCTGGCCTTCCTCCCTATTTGCGTGGCCGCGGGAGGTTCCGCTTGGTCGGTTTGGACGGAGGGCTCCTTGGAACGTAGCCCAAGAGAAGTAGTATTTCCTTGAATGAATTTTTGACCTAAAAAAATTACAGCTCCATTTCCACGTGTGCATTTAACCATGGGGAAGAAAAAGCCCCCCCCAAATTTCAGGGGCTCTCCCCAAGTGATGGAAATGCTGGTAGTTTACTGTTTTAATCTAGTTACAGCTTTGTGAAGTAGGGGTTATCCGAAAGGAGGATGCCTTCTATTAAAGAAATAGTGAAGCTTTCTAAAGAAATAGTTTCAGGTTAGTAAAGATAATAAAAGGTAATGGTAACACAAATTATGAGTAAGGTAAATCGTGTGGATTTTAAAAGTCCAAAAGGAAAACAACCTGGTTACTTTTAGACCCCACCGATAAGGCTGGGGGAGGGGGGGCGTGTGCGTGGGTACACGCTTGTTGCTGACAGGCGGAGGATTGGCCTTATTTCCAAAATTGAAAAATTCAAATGACTTGTTCAGAGAAATTTTGATGGCAAGGGAGGGCAATCGAGATAGAAAAGGTCAGGGATTTTCATACGAAGGACAGTACTTTGTTTACAGGAGGATTATAACCATTTAATGGGTAAAGGGCACTTGCAACAATGCAGACCTAAGGGAGGTTGGGAAATGGAAGGTAATACAGCCCCCTCAGATGGGCCCGTCTTGGTTGGGAACTCGTAATAGATAAGAAATTATACAGAAGTGTAGTTTCTGTTTGTATTTCCCTTATACCAGTGCCTGAGGAATCGTTTTGTAAATTTAAGAGTTCTGTTTTTGTGAACTGTTAATATCTCTTTCTATTTGCTAGTTGCTAATCTTTCTCTTATATGATAGCTAGGAGCTCATGCTATATATTAGGAAGACTACTAAAGTGAATTGAAAATATTTTTTCCTCTCAGTGCTTTTCTAATTTTGATTATGGTTTTTCTTCTTTAACATGGTGAATTTTATGTGTTCACATTTACCCGTTTTTTTCAACGGACTTTTGAGTCAAAGGTACCAAAGGCTTTTCCTGCTCCAGAGTTATAAAGGAATGTGCACATTATTTCCTCCAGGACTTCTGGAGTTCCATGTAGAGTTTATCCTGGTTTATTGTGAGCTTTGTGAAACTAACAGCCTATTGCAGATGGCTACCCCTTTATCCCAAGGCAGACCACTCTTACTGATTTGGGAGGCTGCCTCATTGTATACTAAATTTTTGTGTGACTTCAGGTTTATTCGTGGATTTTGTGTTGTACTATATATTTTCACATGTGGCAAGACCAGTTCTTACAATTGACATGGCTCTCAATTGTCATAATGCTCCAAAACATTCCTGCCTGTTTATTTTCCCTTACAAACAATGCAAACGAGCAACAAAACATTTAAAAGTCTTTTGTATTTTTCTTAGCATTAGAATAGATTGATGAGGGGCGCTTGGGTGACTCAGTCCATTAAGCATCTGCCTTTGGCTTAGGTCATGATCCCAAAGTCCTGGGATCCAGCCCTGCATCGGGCACCCTGCTCAGCGGGAAGCCTGCTTCTCCCTCTCCTTCTGCTGCTTCCCCTGCTTGTTCTCTCTGTCAAATAAATAAATAAAATCTTAAAAAAAAGAATAGATTGATGAATTAACTGATGAAAAATTGAAATGTTCATCAGATAAAGTCTCCTTATTCAAAAATAAAGTACAACTTTATGCTTCTTAAAGTCTACTTTTCTATCGTTCAGGAATTTTAAGGTTGCCCTTCAGTAGATTTTCATGTAACTTTTAGTGTATGCCTAAGCATGTAATCTTTGACTATTGGTATGTTAAAATCCTGTCCACTTTATTTTTAACTGGCCATTTATTCATGGAATTGGCTTTTAGAAATCAGTAAAGCCTTTGGTTACCAAGATAGTTGTTAACTTTCTCAATATCAGTGAATGGTATATTCTCCACAATGTAATCGACCCTTCAAAAGGTTACAACATTTTAAACCATACCCCTCTGAGGATCAGATTTTTGAGCACTGGTTGGGTAAAGTTGGGGGGAAAAAGTTATAAATCAATGTCTTTAAAAAGTTTGGCCTTACAATATTCATTCTATTTTTAAAATTTTATTTAAATTCAACTAAAAACATATAATGTATTATTTGTTTCAGGGATATAAGTCTGTCATTCATCAGTCTTATACCCAGTGCTCATGAACACATAGCCTCCCCAATGTCCATCACCCAGTTACCTCATCCCTCTACCCCCTTCCCCTCCAGCAACCCTCATTTTCTTTCCTGTGATTAAGAGTCTCTTATGATTTGTCTCCCTCTCTGATTTCATTTTGTTTCATTTTTTCCTCTCTTCCCCTATGATCCTCTGCCTTGTTTCTTAAATTCCACATATCAGTGAGATCATAGAATTCTTTCTCTGATTGACTTATTTCACTTAGCATAATACCCTCTAGTTCCATCCCCATCGTTGCAAATGGCAAGATTTCATTTTTTGATGGCTGCGTAATATTCCATTGTGTGTGTATGTGTGTGTCTTTATATATATATATGACATCTTCTTTATCCATTCATCTGTTGATGGACATTTGAGCTCTTTCCACAGTTTGGCTATTGTGGACACTGCTGCTATAAACATCGAGGTGCAGATGCCCCTTTGGATCACTACATTTGTATCTTTGGGGTAAATACCTTGTAGTGCAATTGCTGGGTCGTAGGGTAGCTCCATTTTCAACTTTCTGAGGAACCTCCATACCGTTTTCCAGAGTGACTGTACGAGCTTGCATTCCCACCAACAATGTAGGAGGGTTCCCCCTTCTCCACATCCTTGCCAATACCTGTCATTTCCTGACATGTTAATTTTAGCCTTTCTGACTAGTGTGAGGTGGTGTCTCATTGTGGTTTTGATTTGTATTTCCCTGATGCCAAGTGATGTTGAGCTTTTTTTCATGTGTCTTGGCCATTTGGATGTCTTCTTTGGAGAAATGTCTGTTCATGTCTTCTGCCTATTTCTTGATTGGATTATTTGTTCTTTTGGTGTTGAGTTTGATAAGTTCTTTATAGATTTTTGGATACTAGCCCTTTATCTGAGGTGTCATTTGCAAATATCTTCCTCCAATCTGTTGTCTTTTGGTTTTGAGGATTATAATATTCATTCTTGCAGAGTTGAAATGTCACTACATTTTTTAACACCTCATTGGAGGTGGACTGAAAACTAAATCTCTCGGTTTTTATACACTTATATGATTGTAAAAATTTTGAAGGTTAATATTAAGTAGGGAAAAATGCTAAGAACTTATTTACTAAACTAGCAACAAGTTCCTGTCAGAAATGAACTCAAGGTCCCTACCCAATTCTGAGCAAGATGTTCTCAGTATGTCATTTCCACCAAAATTAACAACAGGGTGTGATGAAGATAGACAATGTAGACCTCCTGTAAACAGGAGGAATTTGGAATAGACTGGAAGCAAGGAAAAGAGGGCTAAATAGACTATTATGGAAAATAAATGTGTTCAAAAGACTTTGATTCAAGGACTCCAGGAGATGAATATATCAATTCATACTGAAAGAATGTAGATCCCATTATTAATATATAAAAGATGGATTTTAAAACTGGAACCTATGACCTAGGCATTAAAGGGGATTAAAAAAAACTTAATATACTTCTATTACGCTTATATTTCATGGACTAAAGAGATATATTTGCTACTAAAAAGAAGGTAACCTGGGCATAACCAGGACACGGATGTTCAGCCGGTGAAGTGTCTCCCTTCCGGTGTGGGTCATGGTCCCAGCGTCCTAGGATCCAGCCCCCCATGGGGCTCCTGGCTCCCTGCTCCGTGGGGAGTCCGCTTCTCCCTCTGCCTCTCCCTCTCCTTGGGCTCTCTCTCTGTCAAATCAATAAATAAAATCATAAAAAAAAGGTAACCACTGCTAAATAAACTACTCCTCACTGTATTCAAATGCTACTATTGGCTGTATGATTTTCAACAATTAAATGGTATTAAAACTATTCTATGAATTTTTTACAAATACATATATATATATAATGTATATATCTTATATATATATATACACACACGCATTTTTAAGCAGACGGGATTATTTATTATTGCCTAGAAGTTGGCTTTTATATGGTGAAAATGAGGTGAATATATTAAATTCAGACCTTGAGAAAAATGAGAAAAGGACACTGACCCTCAACCCCTACTAAATCACTTTCTGGCTCTGATATATAAATCAGATGACTCCAGACAAGGCTCGCCCTGCAGACTACAAGAGGACTATTAGTGAGATTTTAAACTCTTGAAAAGAAGATTCAACACCACCAACAAAAACTAGGGTTGTTGTACGAACCTAACATAAAGTTGACTCTTGAAGACTCCTGCAGAACTCCCTTGTAAGAGAGGCAGCCCTTGATAGGTTCATGGCAATGCCAGGACATTGAGAATCCTCAGACAGCCATGCGCCATGGACCTGTCCCGAGACGCAGCCTGGGCCAGGCCCGGGGCCGCTTTGGCGACCCTGGTGCGGCTGCCGGCTGCCCTCCGCACTGA